TTGAGATTTAGGAGTTCTGTATATATTCTGGGTATTAATCCCTTATCAGATATATGATTTGCAAATATTTTCTCCCATTCTGTGGGTTGCCTTTTTCCTCTATTGATAGTGCTTTTGATGCAGAACATTTTTTTTCATAAAGACCAATTTGCCTGTTTTTTTTCTTCTCTTTTTTGAAGATTTTATTTATTTGTCAGGGAGAGCACAAATGCACACAAGTAGGGAGAGCATCAGGCAGAGGGAGAAGCAGGCTTCCAACTGAGCAAAGTGCCCAATGTGGGACTCAATCCCAGGACTCTGGGATCATGACCTGAGCGGAAGGCAAATATTTAACCAACTGAACCACCCAGGTGTCCCATGCCTGTTTTTACTTTTGTTGCCAATACCTTTGTTGTCATATCCAAGAAGTAACTGCCAAATCCAATGTCATGGTTTTGTCCTCTAAGAGTTTTCTTGTTTTGTTTCTCACATTTATATCCTTGATTCATTTTGACTTAGGTTTTGTATATGGTATTAGGTAAAAGTCCCAACTTCATTTTCATGTGAATGTCCAGTTATTCCAGCATCATTTGTTGAAAAGATTGTCCTTTTCCTGTTAAATGGTCTTGGCATCCTTGTCAAAAGTCATTTACTGTGTATGTAAAAGTTTATTTTTAGGTTTTCTATTCTGTTCCATTGGTCTGTTTTTCTTTATGCCAGGACCACACTATTTTGATTACTGTGGCTTTGTGGTAAGTGTCGAAATCAGGAAACATGAGTCTTCCAGTTTTCTTCTTCTTTTTCAAGATTTTTTTTTGGCTATTTAGAATACCTTGAGATTTCATATGAATTTTGGGATGGGTTCTTCTATTTCTTTAAAAACATCACTGGGATTTTGATAGGAATTGCATTGAATCTGTAGATTGCTTTGGATAGTGTTGATATCTTAACAATTTATGTCTTTTAATCCATGAACAAGGGATATGTTTCCATTTATGTCTTATTTAATTTCTTTCAGCATTGTTTTCTAGTTTTCATCATGTAGATCCTTCACCTCCTTGGTTAATTCTTATTCTTTGTGATGGCTATTGTGATTGGAATCATTTTGTAATTTTTTACTCACATTGTTAGTGAATAATTAGTGTATAGAAATGCAACTGATTTTTGTCTTTTGACTTGTATCCTGCAGCTTGGGTCATTTTATTTGTTCTGGTTTTTTTGTGGAATCTTTAGGATTTTCTATGTACAAGATCATTCCATCTGAAAATAAGAGTAATTTTATTCTTTCCTTTCCAGTTTGGTTGCCTTTTCTCCTTCTTGCCTAATTGCTGTGGCTAGAATGTCCTGTACCACTAAGAATAGAAGTGACAAAAGTAGACATTCTTGCCTTATTCCTAATCTTAGAGGAAAAGCTTTCAATCTTTCACCATTGATTATGATGATCATTGTGGGTGTTCATTTATGTCTTTTATTATGTTGAGGTTGTTTCTTTCTAGTCCTCATTTGTTGAGTGTCTTTTATCATGATGGGTGTTGAATATTGTCAAATGCTTTTTTTGCATCAATTGAGGTGATCATGTGGTTTTTTCCCCCTTTATTCTGTTAATGTGGTGTATTATATTGATGGATTTTGGTGTGTTGAACCATCCTTGCATTCCAGAAATAAATCCCATTCGGTCATGGGCTATAATGGTCTTAATACACTGATCAATTCAATTTGCTAGTATTTTGTTGAGGATTTTTGCATCAGTGTTCATTAGGTATATTGATCTGTAGTTTTCTTGTAGTGTGTTTGTTTGGCTTTGGTGTTAGGATATCCTTTAGACTCTTCACTTTTTTTTTTTTTTAAACAATATTTTCTGTTTCTTTTCCTCAGACTCAGTACTTCTATTGTACTATTGTCAAGTCCACTGAATCCTGCTTTTGCCTGCTTAAATCTGCCTTTGAATTTTCTCATCAGTTTTTCATTTCAGTTACTGTACTTTTCAGCTTCAGAATTTCTTTTTGGTTTCTTTTTAGATTTTTTAATCTTTTTATTCATATTTCCATTGTGTTCATACATTGATTTCTTGACCTTATCTACATCTTCCCTTAGTTCTTTGAATATTTTTAAGATGATTGTTTTTAAGTCTTTGTGTAGTATATCTGCCATGAGCTCTTTCTCAGGAATAGTTTCTGTTGATTTATTTTTTTCTGTTAATGGGCCATACTTCCTGTTTCTTTGTGATTTTTTTTAATTGAAAACTGGAAATTTGAATCTAATAATGTGATAACACTAGAAATCAGATTCTCCCCCTTCCTCGGGGTTTGCTGTGTTTTTTGTTATTATTTTTATATCATGTAGTATGTCTGAAGTATAAAATCAAGGTCTTAGGTTTTCCTGATCCTTTCCTCTGGAATGCACAGTCACTTTCTGATTTTCCCCATATATGCAGCTATTTCTAGTGTGCTAACCCTTTAATATCTGGGAAAAAGAGAAAAATGAAGAGGAGTTAAAGGGTGCTAGTCCTTTAAATTTCCTGGCAGTCACTTTTGCCTGAAAGGAAGGAATTTGCAATAGTGGGAGTAGGTGCAATAATGGTGGCTTACCTCTCTGTCTGCCCTTCTATGGCAAAAAGCAACAAACAGTGACCAGAACACACATCCCCTATATTTGGAGTACAGGGTTGTTTGTGCTACCCAGCTCTCACCAGCTGCTGTGTAAGCTACTCTTGGAACTGCACACAGTTTTTTGCCAGGTGGCTGGGGTGGGGGGGTTGATAGCTGCTAATGTGCTAAGAGCTGAAATTGAGCAAAATGAACCCCAATTTATGTGCTAGCCTTCCCCTGGAAATTGCTAGCTTTTTAATATACTCCAGAGTTCCAAAATAATTACATTAGACATAGTCTGCTGGTGCAGTTGTTGTCTAAGTTGAAGGACAGATTCCTGGTGCTTCCTACTTTGCTGTTTTTCCAGAATCCTCTTTTCTTTCATTTTTGAAAGCTTTTAATTTGATAGTTATTTTCCTTCATTGTTTAAAATATGTTGATTCACTAATGTTTTGTCTTTTATCTTTTATCATTTTTTTTATGAGAAGTCTGCTATATGCTTTTCTTTATTTCTCTCTAAATATGTCCTTCATTTCCTCCTCTGCCTACCTTTACAGTTTCTTTTCCCTTATCAGTTTTTGGGTGTTTTTCACCAATTTGGATGTAATAATCCTTAATGTGGTGTATGTATATGTACTCTTTCTTATATTTATCCTTCTTGGTATCCATGAAGATTCTTGGATTTGTTGAGTGTAATTATCATCAAATTTTTAAGACATTTTACTTTCATTTCCTCAGATTTTTTTTCTCCCATCTTTTTAAGACCCCAATCATGCATATACAATATTACTTGTCTAATAGTGTCTTACAGGTCATTTGGATAGATTCTATTCCTACATCTTCAAATTCTCTGATCTGTACATGATCTATACTATCTAATCTTATGTTAAGTAAGTGCAGTGAAATTTTCATTTAATTATTACAGTTTTTCAGCTTTGGAACTTCCTTTTTTGTGTCTTACAGTTATGTTTTTATTATGTTCATGTTTTCTTGACATTATTTAAATATACACCTGCATTTTTGTTTTATATGATTTAATGCCCTTGTTGATTCATTCTATCATCGCTTTCATTTCTGAGTTTGTCTTTATTGAATAATTAATTCTGGTTCTGGTTACATTTTCCTGCTTCTTTGCATGTCTGGTAAATTTGGTGGACATGTGGTTTTAAGATAGCTGCTATATTTTGTTGTATTCCTTTAAAGAATTTTGGACTTCTTTAGCAAACAGTTACTTAAAGTTAGGTTGATCCTTTGAAGGATATTTTTAAGTTCTTTAATGTCATTCTAGTTCTAAATTATCCCCATTTTAGGGCATGGCCCCCTGGAGTCTCTGAAGAATGCCTTTGTAATTACTGAAGTCTCTCTGTTCTTGCTGGATGGAACTTGAAAGATTCATAGTCCTGTGTGGGTTCTGTACATTGTCTTAGAACTTTCTGGTGATTTTTCTTTCCTTGAAAGTTGTTCTTCGCAAGCTTTATAGGGTTTTACTCTGCACATGTACTAATTGATATTTAGCTATATACTCAAAGGACCTCTGCATATTTCTCTGGAACTCTTTATTTTTTTTTCCCCATAGCTCCATTCTTTGTGAGACTCTAGCCCACAAATTCTAGCTAACCTGACCTCTCTTTAATCTGTTCTCTTTCTACTCAAGTCAACATGATAGCTGGGTACATTTTAGGTTCCCCCTCTCTGTGACACAGTCTGGTATTCACCTGCAAAAAGGAAGCCTGGGTAATGGAAGAGCTAATTTCATCTGTATACATTTTCTCATACTGTGCTCCCAGTTCCCCACTGGGCTGAAAAGAATTATTTCCCTTATTTTGTCCAGTTTTCTAGTTGTTTATGGGCAGGAGGCCAAGTCTCAGCTTTGTTACACCCTCATGGCTATTACAGAGTTCTCTTCACAGGTACTTTAATGAGAAAGGAATAGAGATTTTCATAAAACCAGAGATAATTAAAGGCGAATAACAGATAAGAGAACAAGGAGCTTTTCTAATGATGCCATCTGATATGAAGGGTCTAGGGCCAGAAATACTCAAGGAAGGTACCTACCTGGGAAATGGGTCAGAACAGGAGATTGTGTGGATGCCAGCTTAGTATGGTTTTGGACCTCAGAGCTTTGCCCCATCCCTACACTACTTGGCTTACTCTCAGGTTATTACTGTATCTACTGTCTTCTTGATGCCAGAAAGCCCCTAGATAGGGAAGCTACTTTTTTACCATCACTAATATTATTATATATCACTAAAAACTGATTTTTAGAGCATAAAATATTGAAATCAAACTATAAGTGACTAGTAATTAGTCCTTTGCTGAGATTTGGGAGGGAATAAGGAACCCTAGTAAGTCTTGTGACATTGATGGGCTTTCTGAGAACCATCGTGGCTGAGTTCAGCCTTTTTCCCTCTTCTTTTCCCCTTCTGCCTGCAGTTTAGATCATGTACCTTTTCTTATGCATGACTATGACCTGAGAAGAACAACCAATATTAAGGAGGTCATGCCAAATGCCTCCTTAACACATCCTAGCTTCTTCCAGTGGAGTTTCCTGTCGACTCTGAATGCAGGCAAATGGTTTGTACAGTCACCGGTAAGACATTTCCCAACTCAACAAACCTGCATTGAATCTCTCTTCTGTATGAAGTCATATGCTGCTCCTAGCATACACACCATTTCATCCCAGTTTGGTAGCAGAACTGTAGCATTGATAGGAGGGCTTTTCCAGGAATGCAGTCAGTCTAATTGCTGCTTTCTACATTGACTGGAAATTCTGAAGATAAACTCATAAACTTTTGTCATTTAATTCTTTTTTATCGAAGCATTGCATAAACTTTTATTGTATCTTCCATGTACACAGCATTTTCCTAGGCATTTTGAGTAGCTCACAGTCATAGATGAGTCAGACTAGGGACATATTTATTCTAACCTCCTCTTATCACTCATTAGATATTTAGGTTCTTGGCACATGGAATATAAAGGTGAATAAACACACACTAAGCTCTGATGGAGTTCACAGGCTAGAAGAGACAAAATACAGTGTGATAAGTGCTGAACTGAACTTAATTTTATTTTTTTAATTTATTTTTTTAAGATTTTATTTATTTATTTGACAGAGAGAGATCACAAGTAGGCAGAGAGGCAGGCAGAGAGAGAGGGGGAAGCAGGCTCCCCACTGAGCAGAGAGCCCGATGCGGGGCTCAATCCCAGGACCCTGAGATCATGACCTGAGCCGAAGGCAGAGGCTTTAACCCACTGAGCCACCAGGTGCCCCTGAACTTAATTTTAGATGGCTTAGGAGCACACAAGAGCCACATCTAACTCAGTCTGGGGGATGGAGATGGGGGATTCTGGGAAAAGGAGATAAATAGGCCAGTGTGGTAAAATATAAAACATTGCTGTGTATAGTTTAATTTAGAGGCAAGAGTGAATGGTTGTATTTGAGAGGGCTGAAGAGTACTTCATGCAAATGTATCATTTGAGCTGAAAGAAGATCATTACTAATGGGACCCATAGGCAATGATGGCAGCATGTTTCAAAGATTACAGTATACTGGAGCAAGAGTGGATATGGTGTACATGCATGTATATGTGAAAGAGGAAGAGAAGAAAGGAGGGAAGGAAAGAGAGAAAGGTCAGTAAGGAGGAGATGAGAGATAGATTTGAAGAAGAACCTGGGAAAACATGTTTAGAGGAGAATATAGCAATGCTTAAATAACAAGTTAGAGAGTTTAGAATTATCCCGAGTATTTTAAAGTGGCTAAAATAAAAGGTCACATTTGCATTTGATAAAAGTTAAATCTGCCTTTCCAAGATAGATTAAAGACAACAAAACTACTTAGTTTCCAAATTATCATATCCCTAGGGGGAGTCTATGTGACCTGGGTTTTACCAATCAGATACACTCACTTGAGACTTCAGTTTTGAAAATAGACATCTGAACATGACAGGACAGCAAGCATTCATACTGCTAGCACCTGTAGCATCAGAGACAGTGCAGTGTGGATATCAGCTGTAGTAATAGCTCTCTTATCAGGTAATTATAATTAGGAGAGTAAGTCTTACAGTATTTTTAATTGTGTACTTGGGGATGAATGGAATTTTATTTAAATTTGATATAAGCCCTGAGAACTTATTTGAATCTGTTTCATATAAAAATATTGTTAAGTAAAGCATTATGTTAAAATGGACTTTTCTACTTCAATTTCATTCTGTTAACTAGTGTTAATATAAGAACTTGCTGGAAGTGGATTTGTGATTACTGTATCTTCTTAGAAAATGTGTTTTTTTTTTAAAGATTTAATTTATTTATTTGACAGGGAGAGAGGGAGTACAAGCTGGGGGAGTGGGAGAGGGAGAAGCAGGCTCCCCACTGATCAGGGAGCCTGATGTGGGGCTCGATCCCAGGACCCTGGGAGCATGACTTGAGCCAAAGGCAGACACTTAACTGACTCAGCCACCCAGGCACCCCAGAAAGCTTGTTCTTATAGGAGTATATAACCTCTAAATACTGTTTCTGTGTGCATGTAAACTCTGTATATGTCTCATCACACATAAATAAATAGACACATACAAACCAGAGATGCTCCATTAGAATGTATATATTGGGTTAGTCAGCCATAGTTAATGTTATGGCGAATGTGCCTTCCAGATGGAAAGGCTGATTTTGTGTCTTATGTATAATGTATAACTCATAAAATCTTACTGTAAGTGATAGGGTTAGATATGTTATTGTAATAAATTTTAGTGGATATTTTAAGGATTAAAAGTTTTATTTTAGCATATTTAGGTGGCATGCTTGTAGTATTTCATTAATACTATTACTGTGGCTACTGTGAAGCATCCCAAAACCCGAAGTTCCAAATATGGTTACCTAGGGGGCTTTATTTTTAGGTTTAATTGTGGAGTTTTCTTTGCTTGCATGCTGTACAGTCAGGGGTGGCTGAAGTGGTGTTGGCAAGTGATTTAAAGATTTAGATGTGTGGATACTTTTTGTAGCAAAGACATTGTTTTTGTTAGGATTATTCTGGTCATTCTTCATTGGGTGTGTATGATTATGGATCGATGATGGTGGTGAGTTGACCATTTGTTAGTATATTTATTCCTGAAATTATTGGTAAAAATTAAATTGTTAATCTGATTGATAATGAAATAAAAACAGAGCAGTTCTGGTAGTTGTTCCTGGAAGTTCAGCTAAGTTCCTATTTCTCCAGCAAAACCATTTCTGTAGAGCTTTCTTAAATCTTTTTGTGAAAGTATAATTCTCAAAACAATAAAAATCTAATTCTCATACAGGGACACCTGGGTAGGTCAGTCAGTTAAGCATCCACCTTTGGCTCAGGTCATGATCTCAGCGTCTTGGCATCAAGCCCTGCATCAGGTTCCCTGCTCAGTGGAGAATCTGCTTCTCCCTCTCCCTCTGCTCCTTCCCCACACTCGTGCGTGCTCTCTCTCTCTCTCTCAAATAAAGTCTTTAAAAACAATGTAATTCTCCTGCAACTAGATAGCGAGCATGAGTAAAGTTTTATTTAGCACATTAATGAGAGAACAAATCAGGATGACAAAACCCACTCAAAAGAAAAGTGAGAAACCAACATGTGTATAGTGAGTGCAACAAAGAAATGCTGAAATTAGATGACTAGATTAGATACAAACTTAGTTAATATACTATACAATACACACACACACACATATATATGAGTATATAATACTATATAACAATAAACTCTCTCTTTGTAGTTATCTTCTCTATCAGAGAAGATATCTGCATCTCTCCTGGGCAGAAATCATTTCCGTTTTTATCAGTTTTCTACAACTTAACATCTAACTTTGCATAGTTTTGCCCTAATTGATAACTAAATGGTAATTCAAACAAAGGTACCTTCCCCAAAGAGTCAGATGACACTTACACAAGTTTGTTAAAGAATGTGCTACCATATGATACTATATGGTCCAACAATCAACTTTTTGCCTTATTTCTAAGTTTGAATAGTTTAACAGTCTCCTCTTATAAGCATAATTAACTTCTATAGATTATTTAGAGATTCGTCTTAGTGAGGTGTTGTGTTATTTGCTTTTATTAATTTCCATAGGTTCAGTAAGAAGGATCAATTAATACACATAATGTTCCTTGTTGTATAATCAGCAAATCTAGAACCAGATTGTGTTAAACAACTTCTATCAAATTAGATTCTTTTTTTTTTTAAAGATTTATTTGACAAAGAGAGAGAGAGAGTACACAAGCAGAAGGAGTAGGAAAGGGAGAAGCAGGCTCCCAGTCGAGCAGGGAGCCTGATATAGGCCTTGATCCCAGGACCCTAGGATCATGACCTGAGCCAAAGGCAGATGCTTAACCAACTGAGCCACCCAGGTGCCCCTCAAATTAGATTCTATCTGGAGATTATGTACAGAATCAAAAATTTCAATTTTAATAGTCCCTGTCATTCCAAAACTCTTTTTATCAGGATTATTTACAAAATAAGAAATTCATCTCTACCAGGTTTCACCTGTGTACCTACAAACATGGGCAAATTTGTCTTTTTTCCTGCTAGGCATTGATCTTTCTTCCTGCCTGTGATGCTGGGACCGTGTACAACAACAGATACCAGTTTGCTAAGGAAGACTTATAAGCATGGGTTTTCAAATATCAATTATATCTGTGTCCTTAATGGAGACTGGGTATGTTAGGTCCATAATCAAAGGAGCGAGACTGATACAAAGCGAAGGTCAAGCAAAACTTTATTTCGTGCCAAGCATTGAGAATCAAACCGACCATTCGGGGCTGCCTCTTACAGAGAGAGGGACCACTCCCTGCCTTACAGACTAACTTTTATAGAGCAAAGGCCGTGTGGTTGAGCCTGGCCACACGCAAGTGGCCAATGAGATTGTAACACACAGAGAAATCTGCACAGTCATGCTAGGTCACACACGAGTGGCCAGTTGAATTACAATTCACCCCATAGTAGCTATTTGAACTAGCCAGCACCTTGGTCAGAATTGGCACCCAAAAGGCAGGGCCCACACTCCTTGGTAGCTAGGGAGACAGTATGCGCGCCCCACTGATTGGATGTCTCCACCTGCCTGACTCATCCCTGCATTGGGGCTCTGTTGTCTCTACCTGACCTGACCCACCCTTTGGGCTCTGTTATCTGGGACTGGCCGACCATATTTTACTGGTTTCCTGGACTTGCTTTTAAGTAGGTTCCTCTGGGGGTGGGGGCAGGGTCAGTTTAAGTTTTACTGCATAAACAACAAAATCACTGTTTAACTGGATGGAATCGCTCTGGCTAAATAGGCCCTTACAGGTACTTGTCATATCTGACTGAATGGAATGTATTGTCAAATATAATCCTTCATATTTGGCCTTGATTATACAATTTGTTAAATTATATACCAGTAAAAAGGAGGACAGATTTTTATTCAACATATGCAAATGACTGCATTGCCATGAAAAGTAGAGACTCAGTTAAAAATATTTCTACCTTAGTTCTGTGGGGCTATTGAGAACAAGATACTACATACAAAGAATGTTTTGCACATTCATAACAGAGAAAAAGTCAAAAGAATAGGTTTTAAAATAGCAGTAAGTACATAC